CTCCCTCTCCAGTCCTAAGAGCAGTCAGGGTTTCCTGCCCTGTGGGAAGTCTAAGCTCCTCCCCCCTCCCTCCAGGTCTAGAAATGTGAGCATCCAAACAGACTAGGATCCCAAAAATCCAGTATATGCAGATGAAACAAGACACAGTGCCATTGTCAATGGTTTCTCAGTCAGCCCCCATGTCAGCCACATTCAGAGAATCCGGTTTGGTCACATGCTCATTCAGTCCCAGTCCAGCTGGCCTTGGTGAGCTCTCATTAGATCAGTCCCCTTGTATCAGTGGGTGAATGCACCCCTCGTGGTCCTGACTTCCTTGTTCATGTTCTCCCTCCTTCTGCTCCTCATTTGGATCTTGGGGGCACAGTCCAGTGCTCCAATGTGGGTCTCTGTCTCAATCTCCATCTATCGTCGGATGAAGGTTCCCTTTGATCCTGCCTTCCTTGCTCACGTTCTCCCTCCATCTTCTTCTCACAGGGTTTTTCTGTAGCTTTGGAGCCTGTCCTGGAACATGCTCTGTAGACCAGCATGGCTTTGTACTCAAAGAGAGGAACCTGCCTCTTCCTCTTAAGTGTTGGGATTAAAAGTGTGCACCACCACACCCAGCTCAGCATTTCTTTTTATGTATGTGTATGTTTTAAAATTTTTTTTTACACTTTAAAAGGTCTTTAGTGTCAATTATCCCTTCCTATTCTTTCTCATCTACCTGCACCCCCTCCTCCACCACATATCATTTGCTTTTCCTGTTACATTAATCCCCCCTTTACATCACTCCATTCAATCTCCTTTCCCTTGAAAGCCCACTTTACTCTGCACGGCCTTTTCCTATTTTTATAACTGTTTTGGGTATTCCAAATGAATAATACTTGTCTGAAGGCTTGAAGCTAACAGTCACATATGGGAGAAAAGAGATGATATTTGTTTTCCTGTGCCTGAGTTACTTCACTCAGAGTGATTATTTCTGGTTTCATGCATCCACCTACCAGTTTTAAGATTTTATTTTTCATAAGAGCAGAATAATATTTACAAAGTATTAGATATCTATTTAGGAGATGTTGTGCAGAACAACAATGAACATGTATGAGCCAGCATCTCTATAGTAGGATATAAGTACTTTGGGTAGATGCCCAAGAGTAATATAGACGGACCATGTTTTAGATATATTTCTAGATTTGTGAGACATTTTAGAACTGTAGACATGTCCTAAAAATATGCATGCACATACACAAAAGAATTTAAATGGAGTTACCATGTGACAGGGTAACAATGTCCCTACTAGACATTGTAGGTTAGAAATAAAACCCCAAGGAATGGAACGTCTTTTTGAGTTGATGGCCACATACCCCTAAGCACTACAGGATATTGCCATTTCTCTTAGTTATCCCCCTGAACTCAATGGTAAGACTCTTTGGCTAAAAATACAGTAACTTGAATCATAAACCATGAAGAAAGCAAGTTGGTACTGAATTGGACAATGCCCACTGGCTAGCTTTCATAGTTTTAGAAAGATGCTATGTAGGCAACCAGAGGAGGAAGCTAATTATCAGCCTTACCTAGCTTAAAGCTCCATGAACTATAGTAATGCCTGGAAATGCCCTTTGACACAGTCGTGGCATAAATGCTATGAAGCATTCAGCCTGCTTCTTATAGAAACTCTATACTATGAGGTCTCTTGCCTCCTAAACCAATATTTCTCAACTGTATCATCTCTTTTTGGCAACCTCAGTTCCTAGTCAATTTTCTATATGCTAAAAGGGCACATGTTATTAAATTTTCTCTGTTATTTTCTACGTCTTCTATAACTTAATACTGCCTGATTTTGTTCTAATACATTACAATCTCTGAAAAAGCAGTGTGCCTACTTCAGAATCATAAATGTGTGAAAGACCACAATGGGACCTTGTAATCCATGAACAAACTGAATGCATAGACTGTAAATACTTGTCTAGGAGGAAGGAATAACTTTTCAGAATTTTAGTCTCTAAGTCTCAAAAATGTAGAACGATGAAACTCTTATACTGTCTGTGGTACTAAATGGAAACTTATAGCTATGCTTAATTTATCTGGCTCATTATTACAAAACCTTTTACTCATTTCATTTTACTATATTCCTCTTGAAATATTTGATCTGGTAAGCAGAAGCAAATATTAGGTTTTACACTCCATTTACTGGGATAACAATGATGATCATCTGACATCAGAAAGCCAAATATCCCTTGCTTATTCCCAGAGAAGAATTTGCTCTCCGGGTGCAATGTCCTCAGTAGTGTGTCCCACCCCACACCCCCTCAATTCACATGCCTTTAAACATAGTAGAACACACATAAGCACAACCCCATACCCAATACTTTGTTGTTAAAGCCAATTGCATCCAGCATTTTTCCTCTCATGAGTGGAAAGTTTTCCTGCCCCATTTAACCATGTTATTATAGTAGACAAGAGTCCCATATTGCATGAAGCATCAATGCTACTTACAAACAAGCTGTTTCTTTCCAACCAAGGTAGAATTAAAACAAATGCTCATGGGAAAGAGCCATTGTTTTCTTAGTGGTGTGAAAATGAGGCCTGGAGCATAGAGGGTTTAATCCTGAACTACATCCTGGAATAGAATGGTGTTTTGCCCTCCAATGGGAAATTCCTTTTCCACTTGGTAGCTGAATCTCCCCATGGAAATTTTTTCTGAATAAATAGCCAAGAAAAAAAGTAAAAAGCTAAGTCAATAGAAAATCTCACAAAATGACCTATTCTCAAGAAATTAACTTTCTCCTAGAATTGAAAAGGCATACAGCATTCACATCTTATAGGGACAGTATAATGCACCAAGTATATACAATAATCATATCCAAGTGAGCTGAATGTGTCTTACTCCTCCCTGTGGAAATCCCCTTTTTCTCTAGCCAATATAATGATTGCAAGGGAGTTAATAAATCATGGGAGTAAATTAGATGTTCTATTGACTTATGCAAGGCTTAATAAAATGATGAAAATGAATGTTTTCCCCTAAATTAACTTAAAGTCCCAAAGATGGAATTTATAAATGGGTTTTAGAAAGCTCAAAATTATGGAAAATTAATTACATACAGCACATATTTTCCACAAATATAATGTCTTCTTGAACTATTCAGTGAACGCTAATGGTTGGGTTTGGGGATTCTAGAAAGGGACAACTGTCACCTTTCTAGAATCCTTCAGTTCTAGTACTCGTGACTTTTTTTAAAGATTTTTTACGACACTTAAGAATGATTAAAAGTGCTTTTCCTTGGTCTTTTAGCTGTTGAAATGTTAACCAGGCAAGTATTTGTGCTAACAGAAAACTACAAGTATTCTATCAGGAAATTTCTAACAAGACCATTCTAATGTTAAAAAATATGTAATAATGTAAAAAAAATATTGTACGATGTTACTGTATTAAAATGCAGCATTTACCTTGATTCAGTAATGGAACTTGAAAAAAATGATCGAACTTCACTCCTAGAAAGATTCAGGCAAGGACATAAAATTTGGATATATTGAATATTTAATATGCAACTCTGGGTTCAGTGTGTCATCCCCACATTCCCGTGCTAAATTCCTAATTCCCATTAGCTCACACTATGCCTATGTTCTAAATTGGGGTCTCTAATTGTTACCTCCTTCTGTATATCTTTATTAATTTAGAAAACACTAAATAATTCAGTTTTATTTGAGATATTAATAAATATCAATTGCAGCCTCTTTAGCCTCTTACTGATGTCTTGCTGATTGGAACAAGCAGGCTACGTGAAATGCTGGGTGCTTATTCTAAAGGAGCTAAAACCGTGGTATATAGATTCATCCCCTCATTACATATAATAATGCCAAATGCTATTGTCCAGGCAGATAAGTATTATTTTATATATGAAAAGACATTAGAGTAGCACATTACTCAGAGGAGCAGAGGAATAAATGTTTTCTAAATTTCAGTCCCTCCAGAGCATCATGTAATGAGCTCTTCTAAGCCAATGCTGAGCTGCAATGTAAAATCCTGTTTAATGAGCCATAGCTAGCTTTGCGTGGCCCCTGTGGGACAACTCGAAGGGATCCAGGCTCTTCCTCCTCCATCCTTTGCCTTCCTGGGAAGTACCAGGAAAGGACACATAGAGAGCCCATGTCAGGGAAGCTGGGGATCCACTTGTCAGCACAAAGTGAACAGCAGAATACAAATCACCAGCTTTGTTCTAGCAATGCCTTTGTTTACAGTGCCAGGATAGAATGTTTAAGGGCCTGCCACATTTACATTGAGTCTGTCACTCACAGATCTAGTTTTGATTCCTGTCCTATAAAATGATCTTGTGTTCTAGTAGAAAAATATATTTTACAAGGTTAACATCAATGTCAGAAAAATGCAAGCATCAAGCATACGTTAGAAGAAATGAAGTTTGCTTAATGAGGAAGGGGTAATAACATTTATCCATACTAGCTTACTTGATTACATAGGCAAAAGTAGACTTTCTCAGGTAGTCCTGATTGAATTTACATGTAAATTTTGCAGCTAACCTTTATTTTTCTTCTGACTAATAATGTTTCTCAGCTTAACTCACGGTCTATGCAAAGTGCCTTTCAAACGGAAGAATGTCTTTGTTGGTTGGATTCAGAGCTACAGAATGTCAGTACCTGCAGGGATGGATAGAAACTGTGTCTATTTTGGCACTGATCCTTCTGTTTGGGATCAACTATGGATTGAGAAGATGACTGGGAAATCTGTGTTTGATTTCATAGAACCTACCCTATTCTATCAAGCCTGCATTACTGGGGAAGTAACCCATGAATTTATATTTATCTCGAGTTTGCTGTTGATGGGCCAAGGTTCATACAAAGGTTACTCCTACAGAAATGTCTGTCGTCTCTAGTCTGCACTCTGGTGATTGCTGCTTCTTCCAAATATTGCCCTCTAGAACAATAAAAGGGTTTTAAAATAGTACATAAAAGACGATTCAATAAACCAGCTCCTATGCTGAAATGATTATGTCTCTCTTCTCTTCCAGCTCCCAGCTGTAGGCGGACAATTGACATTTACCATCTCATATGACCTCGAAGAAGCGGAAGAGGAGGCAGAAAAAGTTGTTCAGCTGATGACTATCTTAGAGGTGAGATAATAAACACGTCACTGTACAACCACATGATACTACCGTGTCACCTGAGGCCACTCACACTGCTTTTAATTGATTGACTGATGGTGATTTACATACTATGAAAGAAAATACACCTCGGCAGTTTTATGCCATGCCCATGTTTCAATCTGATACATGCCAAGAAAATTCAGAATGGGTTATGATGACAAAGGATACCATTTAGAAACATTTCGAAACTTAAATTTAAAACATGACCATATTTCTGCACTTATAAGGTTACAGGATCCATGTGTTTAGGTCAATACTAATTTATGTAATACATTATATTATAGATGTTATGGTTTCCTGTTTTGTTCACATATTCAAAAGGAAAGGGGCAAAGTTATTTTCTGAGGTGAACTCCTGACTTCAAAATCTTACTTTAGGAAGAAAATATACAAGAGGAACTGTCTTTGGAAACTGGAAGGCTGTGCATGTTTCCAAATGATGGGTGCAGTAATATTCTTAGAGCCCTGCCTTACTTTCTCATACTGCCATGATGAATACTCCCCAGTATTTACATACATACCCCTAGGTGCACACCTGTATGTGTGTTATTGGTTCCAAACAGAAGATGCTGATAAAGCTGTAGGCTCTGTTACTGCCCCAAGTCTTCCTTGCTTAGGGGTCAGTGGCAGAATGACAAAATTACTCACTCAGCACAAATTTCCCCCAGAATCAAATGAAGTAGTTTAGACTTTCGCATAAATATAAAACTGCATGTGCATCTTGGGATTCCTTGAAGATAAAAGGAGCTCTCTTAAGCATGAAGGTTGAGAGATGATGTATCATTAAAACACTAAATAAGAAGGATGACTTGAATGCCCTAAGTAAACTTAAATGATTCTTGTGATGCTCTTTTCCTATTTTATACATCAGTGTGCAGATCTTTCCTTACATGGAACATGGAAGTCAGAAATATTTTAGCTTATATAATAATGAAATGTCCTTGCCTGATATACTGCAGTTCTTATCTCTGCCGTAAATTCATGTTTTCATGCTTGTATGAAACCAAATTGTTTGCAACAACATATATACATGATACCTGTTATTTTAGTTAATGGAGAAAGCAAGTTCATGCAAAACTCACAGTGGTAGACTTTGTAGTATATGAGATGAAGGTTGGTCTTTACAATTTTTTGTCTTTGATTCATGTATACCAGAAAAATGCTGAACGATGGGCAAAGCCAACCTTAAGTTAAAATCCTCCTGAGGACGATCCAGGGTAGTGTATCTAAATTCAGATAACCTTTAGAAATTTTGTATCTTTCTTGCAATTTTATCTATACATACTTTCTTCTCCCCCTCCCCACACCCCTGCTTTAGGGAAATAACTTGAGAATCAGCACAGCCTTTAAGGAGGTGTATTTAGATCCAACCGAAGAACACACTGAGGAGTTACCATTCAAAGAAGACTCCTTTACCATACATGGAACAAACTTACCAGTCAGTAGAAAGGATTTTATGACGATGCTTGCAAATTTGGAGAGCGTCCTCATCCAAATCACATACAATTTAGGGATGGATGCCATCTTCAGGTAAGATCTAGAATTCCATCTTCCAATGTTTACACGTGTATCTGGGGCAAACAAAAGTGTGGCAGAAAAGTACATTTTAAATGGTCTAGTTTTGTGCCTTTAAGTCAAAGATAAGCATACATTCTGGTTTCTGTAAGGTAATCACATGAAACCTTTACAATTTAAATATAGGACTTTTAACACTGCTGAATCCTCTGCAATTTTGACAGAGCATGTGATAATGACTTTCTCTTGAGAAACAAAAAGACATTTTCTTTTATGGCAGCTCAGATGGTGAAACACTGAAGATATAAGATTACAAGCTACTGATATTCAAAAACTGGTTTGTAAAATATTTTCTTCTGTTCATCAATTAACTGGTATCAAGATTGTAATAAGAAATACGGGCTTATTCATTTACGTGATTATACGCCCCTTTATACTACACTGTGACACTATTATAAACACAAGGTTTAAAGGAAAGAGTGGGAGATTTTGGAGCTCAAATAAGCTCTGTTGATCTTGGCAAGTGATTGGTATTTGTGGCATCTTGATGTTTAAGTATAATATACCCATAATAGTATTTTTCTCATCCCATTTTAACCAGGCCTGCAGTTAAAATGATTAAACTGCTTTAATGTGGATACATTTAAAGGCTAGTTCCTTTTTTTTTCTCCATATATTATGGGATAAAGAGAAAACCCCGACTTGAGCCAAATTTGATCACAGAAGCCTAATGAGAAGCTCCTATGTGCATTATTTAAGAAACATTGATATTTTGTCTGATAAAATTATTATTTCAGATATATTGGAATATACTTTTCCTCATTTTTTAAAATACCCAGATAGTGCCACAAGATATTATATGATTCTCATTGAGATTAAATTAGAAGATCAGGTTTGATGCCACAATGACAACTGGTATGACTTTATTCAGAGCTCTCTGGATTCTTCAGTTGTAGATTCTAACCCCGTTATTTGCTTGTGCTGTTGAGTTTGTCTTTCGCTTGTAATATTTCAGCAAAGTACAATCATCATTACTATTTCCCAAAGGAGGGAGCTGCAGGTTCATAAACAAAACCATTGCCAAACAATATGCCTCTTTTGCATAGGCAATTCTGCTAGAAGCTGGGTTAAAGTGCTATAAAGGCGAAATGCAGCACTTAGGAATTAATTATGCTTTTTCCCGTTTAGTAAATAGAGATTGTCATGATGTTTAAACAGTATAAAGAAATGAGTCCTCCAGCTTTGAAAGTAAATGACAACCAAATTGACAAAAAGTAGCTGGAGGGCTTGTTTATTTTTGTCGCATTGCTTCCCAGGCTAGTTAATTCAAAGATACCCTCCTGTTTTTGCCAGCCAGTTTCAAAGTCTACCCATCTTAAAGTCATTGGTTTCATTTAAATCCTTCTGGCATTTTCTCTGAACTTATGAACATGGTCATGAAATGTAACTATGTGAGCTGGCTTAGAAGCTCTCCAAGAGGGTGACTGCTCTTTGACAACCTTATTAATGAAACATCGTGGACCAAGAAGTGGGGCCAATGTCAGATATAAGCTCCAACCTATTCTAGGAGAGCCAAAAATCACTATGAATCCTGAATCAGCTAGCTTGCGATATTTTGTTTATCTCTGATCAACCAGTAAATTGAGTCTTATTTGTAAAACATTGCTTGAATTGATTTTGACTTGTCTTGCACAGTAGGCTCCTGAGTTGATATACTGCCTGTGTGCAAGCACAAGGAAATTGGAGCATTGCAATAGCACTTCATATTTAGACTCACTGAAGGGTAGTTATCTCAGCAAAATGGGCTTAGGTTTGCCCAGTTGCACGGTTAGGTGGAATTGGATAGAAAACTGAGCGGTAGGTCAAGGATTTTGACTTCCGTTTCCAACACAGCTATTTAATAGTTGTAAACATGAATATGGCTTTGACCTCTTTGTACCTTAGTCACTTCATTTCTGAAATAAGGAAGACAATTGCCTCGCCAACTTCCAAAGGTCACTTTGGGAATGGAATTAGAGAATTGCTGAAACATTTTTCTAACAGAAAATCACCTCACAGATATGAAATATTTACATCTGACTTGTCTCATACCAAGTGGTTATATTGTCTCTAAACATCATTTAAGCTTGGAGACGTCTAGAGTATGCTATACTCTGCTATTTCCACAACTGTGAGAGTTCTTTCTGCCATGCTTATCCAGAATTTCAAAAGACTCACTAAGAATAGCAAATTAATATCCTCTTTATGACTGTATTTAGTATAATGAGGAGAAAAACATAACTATGCATTACTTTTTAAAAGAAGGTATCATAAGGGCATGGAACAGTAGATAAAGGGTGAGGCACAAAAGCTATCAGGACCACAGTTTGGATACCTAACATCCACATAAATGCAAGGTGGACTTCATCAGTTTTCTTAAGAGGTGGAGTTGGGACTGTTGCTTAAAAGAAGAGAGATTAGCTAAATTGATGACCTGGAGGTTTAATTAAGAGACCTGGCTCAGTATATGAAGTGTATATATGCCCAGGAAGACACCTAATATCAGTTTTTGACTACACATGTATACTCATTCACACATATATTCATATGTACATCCACATACCATAAATAAAGAAAAATGTAAGGTAAATTAATTTACCTTACATATTATATATGCATATATTAAATTTTTGAATCTTGGCTTTAGTAACATCCTTGATCATTAACTGAAGCAGAATATTCCCTAAGTATCTATATGACACAGAACTCTTCACAAATTGTCTTCTTTTTGCTCCTATAATAGATGTTGTTAGAGTTCACCAAATTCTACTCCTTTGGGTGTATCGAATTTCCTTTGACTCCTGAGAGCAGATGAAGTGGTTTGGTCAATGTAATGTGAACGAAAGTAATGACCATCTCTGGAAAAGGAACATTAAACTGCCTGTGTGAGTCTTCCTAAAGTTTATTCAGCAACCAGAAGATAAACAACCTGGAATTCTGACATCACATAGGGGTCAGCACCCTGTCTGTTTTGATCATCTAGTTACTGAAGAAATGTAGACTTTTGGAAATCCTCCTACAGGCCTGGGTCAGCTACCAGAATCTGAAGTTGTTACAAGGACAGAATCAAGACTATTGCGACTTTATCAAGATAGACTTCATATGCATTCATTTTATGCAAATACAGAATCATTAAAAGCATTTTTATATGCTCATTAATTTCATTATACTATTGTTTGGCCTGTCAGTATGTCAGTGCATCACATATCTGGTACCCTTAAAAGTCCAGAAGAGGGTATTGGTTCAGATGGAGCTGGAATTATAAACAGTTATAAACTATCTTGTGGGTGCTAGGAATCAAACATAGGTCCTCTAGAAGAGCAGCCAGTGTTCTGAACTGCTGAGCCATCTCTCCATTACCATTTGGAAATGTTTTTTGTTTGACATATAGCGTCTATACATACTGATGAGCTTCATAAACAATTTCTATTCAAGTATATCATGCCCTTTGAACTCTTCCTCACATAGAACTTTTAAAGTTAAGTTACTTTCATGTGAATTTTCTCATGAATTTAGGAGTTATATATTAAAGTTTGACGTAATTTATAAATTATCTAGAAAAATTATCTAGAAAAAAATCACATGAACAAAACCATCTTTGCTAATAAGAGACATGGAGTTGAAGAATACAGATTTTCCATCTATATTTCAAATAAGCCACCCAGGTGATCACATTTTCAAGAAATATGCTAACAAAGATACTAGTACTTAAAAATATTTAAATTATTCACTTTTCACTTTCTGTTGATGAGAGATAGAGTCAGGGTTTAAGCCCACAGGCATTTTTTCCTATGGTCTTTAAGAATTCCTCCAGGTTCATCTATATTGGACTAATTCAGTCTGCAAGCACATTCTGAGCATCTTGCATGTATATTGTCTAAATTTCAATTCTCTGCCATGTAAAATGCCAGAAACAGTATCAGAATTTCAAGATTGAAGACTAGGTTAGGGAACAATGCCTATAGAACATGTGATTTACCAGTATATATTGGAATGCACTGTGGGGCACTGAACTCAAAGAAAGCATAATCCGGAATGAAAGCAAGATGCATGTATAATATAAAGAATAATCCAGTAAGAGTAGATACTTCATGCACGTGGATGACCAAGGAAATGAAGGTTAAATCTTGTACTAGCATTTTATGTTTTACAAACGCCTGTAGTGAAATATATTGTCACATTTATTTTCTCTACTTTGCATGGACCAAAATGTTTGGAGAAGGACTGAGGAGGTAGGTTACTTAGCAAGTGCACTACCTGACGAAAAAGCACGAGGACTAGAGTTAGGTACCTACCCAGCTCCCAGGCATAAAGCCAGGAAGGGCAACTCTCACTTGAAACCTCAGCTCCCTGGAGACAGAGATAGGCGAGAACCTTAGCATACTGACAGCAAGCCTAGCAAAATTGATGAACTTTAGATTTAGTGATTGAGAAATCATGCTTTAAAAAATGAAGTGGGGAAAAAATTGGAGAAGATTCCCAGCACTGACCCCAAGCCTCACACATGCTCACATGGGTGCATATAGCACACACACACTACATACACTACATACACATACATCCTATATACACACACTATATACACATACATCACTCACACACTCACACTTTACATACACATATACGCACATACCCCATACATACACATAGCCCACAAACATAAACACTCACATATAACATACACACATACTCCCCACACATGCATACACATATACACCACACATATACTACATGCACGTACATCACACACACTACATACACATACATCACACACTTTACATACATATACACACATATCACATACTACATACATACAAACATACCCCACAAACAGGCACACCTTCATATAACACATACACACATGCCACACATACTTATACATAATGCACTCATACCACACACACACACACACAAACACACACACACACACACACCACATACATACCACCTACAAACACATACCCTACAAACACACA